GCAATGATTTTTTTCTAACAAGATTCAGCAACTCAGGATAGAGAAGGCAAATGGTGGGGTTCATCCAGAGTAAGTATTATGAGAAAAACAGTGGGAGAGAGTTGGAGATATTTGCATTGAAGAGTTAATAATGAATAAAGTCTAGACTGGATAATGAGGGCAGGAAAGTAAGAGGGAGGGCTAATGTTAAGGAGAAAGTGCTGTGGCCAGTAGACTGTAGGATTTCTACAAGTTTAAGGGTGTACGGTAGTGGACAGCTTGGGGGTAAGCAAATTAGAAATATGAGAGATGTTGGTGAAAGAATGGGATGTTTGAACTTGGCGTGCTAGATGTGCTACAGTCTCTGGTGATGACAGAATCCAGTGGATGAACATGACAATGGATAACTAAGGTGGACTGCCTGAGAACGGCCCTGGCAGTAGGCACCTGATAAGTCAGAATGAGAGGGTTGGTCATGTGAATGTTTAAGTCAGCAGGCACTGTGGCAGAATGGAGAACTATGATCCATGAGTTATAAATTCCTAAGTGAATAAGGGTGGGGCATATGATGAGATGGTAGCACAGTAGGGGAGGTGGGTAGAGCCAGGCAATGGCAGCCCTCAGAGGTGCCATGGGTTTCTGAAGGCAAGAAAAGAGTCACAGGATACAAACACCAGCTCTCAGCCCTGAGGTTCTCAGAGGTATCAGGAGGTGAGGTGAGGTAAGGCAGCCTCTACTTGAGAGAAGAGCCTGAGGATATAGAAGAGTTTCATCCCAAAGTGAGAATTCCAGAAGGCCCAATGGAAGGGTTTTGAGGGGATAGAGGGGAAGTGGGGGGCTGAACAAGGTTAAGTTATGTACAGAGCAGTATGTACAGGGATGAGGCTGGAAAAATAACCAGAGGATCTGGGCTTCTCTTTTACACTCAGGTAAACAGGAAAGTGGGACATGATGGAGTTAGTTCTGTTGGTCTCTGAGATGAGGGTGGGCAACTAGACCTATTGCCACAGCCCCAAATGTTTCCCCTGGAGGCATGGGAGCCTAAGAGACAGCAGCTCCCTAAGAATTTGTAAGGCATCATGGTTGACACTGAGGATACACAATATGTATTGGTGGATACAAGCTGCTTGGTATTAAACACTACAAGACGGGCTGGTAAGAGCTGGGGCTGGAAGTGTAGGTAGGGACCAGATCATTGGGATCCAGATCTGCCATGCTAGGATGCTTAGATTTGATGAAGTGTCGAAGGGAATTGGCTCAATGAAGAGTTGAGGAAGACAGGGAATTGTCAAGAGTGACTCCAACATTAAGGTTTGGGTGACTGGATAAATGGTAGTGTGTGCCGTTAAGAAAGAATGGAGGCCGGCCCGGTGGCGCACTGGATAGTGCGCCGCTTGGGAAGCGCGGCGGCGCTCCCGCCCCCGGGCGCGGC